TGTTTTAGTAAATGTATTGTATATATGTTCATCATACATGTACATATACATATAGATGTATATTGTTATGGAATATCTAGGAGTCTTAATTCTAATACAAACATCATAAAGATGGTCATAACCATATACTAAAAAGGAAGGCGTATACAGCTATAATGACTATAATTAAGTAAAAGGGGGAGAAATGGATGCTGACATAAACAAACAGAGGGTGTGTCTACAAAGTATAAACTGCAGTTCAAGTAAATTCATGATTAATAAACAAGCACAGCTAAGCACAAAATACATGTACACATGTTTATTATATTTTATTTTATTCATTTACTCGTTGGCATATTTCTGTCAGATCGGCTCCACTGAAACCCTCAGTCTTCTTAGCCAAAAACTCTAAATCAATGTCCTGTGGGAGTAGGCGGGGTTAAAACAAACCACACCCATTTAATGAGATTACCTGAGCAATTGGAGACTTGCGGAGATTGGCCTTTAGAATAGATACCCTCGACTGTAATTAAAAAATACAATTATAAATTAAATTATAAATTTATGGGTGGAGTCCACTATAAATTAATAACAATAATTAATAATAATGTAATAATTAATTAATAATAATTATAATAATGAATTAATTAATATTACTATGTACCTTTTCATCAGGCAGTGGTATATAAATAAGCTGGTCTAGTCTTCCTGGACGGAGAATGGCAGGATCAATGATATCAGGACGATTGGTAGCTCCAATAATGAACACGTTCTTCTTGGAGTTCATACCATCCATCTCTGTTAGTACCTGATTAATAACACGATCAGCAGCTCCACCTACAAAGGGGGAAGGAGGAGGAGGGGAGAGGACAAAAAGGGAGACATAACAATTAAAATTTAGCTGACATACATGTACTTTGTAGTGGGCATTATTATATGTCTTCAATTATTGTACTTAATCCATAAAAGTAGAAACATTAACCACATAGTCAGGTAGCTTCACACATACACAGCATCTTTGTAAGTAAAGTACACTGTAGTACATTACATTTACATGTAATTATTGTACATATGTACTTTCCATATATATATTATTCATAATATCAAAAGGACATTCAGTCACACAAAAGGAGAAAGGCATCTATCAATAAGGACATGAACAATGTAACTAGAACAGCTGACTCCTACTCTATTCAAGTATGTATACATTGTGTATTCTTAAATTTCTCCCTTTGTCTCCCTCTATCTCTCTCCCTCCTTCTTTTGTTCTTCTATCTCAAAATTTCTCTCTCTCCCTCTCTCTCTATTACCAAGAGTAAGCTATTACTTCATGTACATGCAGAGTAGATTCCCTGTTTGTCAATAGAAGGATGTACATGACTACTCAGCAGCAACAACAACAACAACATGTGTATACATGTGCTCTTTGACATGTGTAGATTGTGTATATCTATAGCTCCTTTACACTATGCCCTCAAAGCAGTTTGAAACCGGTTTAGAAATAAACCAGTTGTATGTGTGGACAATTTCAAAGCGGTTTGAACCGACTTACATGTACATGTATCTAAACATAAACATAAACATTACATCACATAAACATTACATAAACCACCTCAGTAGGTGGTTTGAGAATCAAACCGGTTTAAGTACTAGGGCAGCTGTATTATGTATGCAGCTGTATTATTCAACTACCGTATAGCGGGTTTGTTTCGTGAGGGTAAACTTTCGTTTTCCATCCTCAAAATGACTTTCGTGAGGTTAAAAATTCGTTCTGAAGACGTTAATAAGCTACCACGCCCATTAAAACTGGAATTTCGTTGGGTTAATTGTTCATTCTCCCATCTTAAAGAATGAAAGTTTAGCCTCACGAAACAAACCCGCTATATGGTACAATTAAGCTGGTTTCTGAACCACACTTTGATCCAAACTGGTTTGTAGTGTAAACAGGGCTCATGTCCTCCCATTTTGTCTTTCTATCTCTCTTTCTTTCCTCTCTCTCCCTAACCTCCATCTCCAACATTTCCACCACGAGATTTAGCAATGGAGTCTAATTCATCAAAGAATAAAACGCAGGGGGCCGCCTGACGGGCTTTATCAAAAACATCTCTAACGTTGGCCTCAGACTCTCCAAACCACATAGTCAATAATTCAGGACCCTATGAAGGGGGGAGAAAAAGAAGGAAGACAATAATCAAAGCTTGCTTATAACATGTGCTGACTCACAAAAGAAGCATGCATATGTGTACATGTACATGTACATGTAATTATGTAAAGAATTAATTTTGGGGCAGCTCTTAAATTTCATACGACACACGTACATGTACATTTACGTGCACATACTGAACTAGTAGTAAACAATAAAAGACACACACATAATGCTGAAATAGCAAAAGCTACAGCTGTGTGTAATCAAACTGAGTAATAATCCATTAAATATACATACCAAAAATGCTTTACTGTCCTACACTTACATACATGTATGTACATTTTGTTATGAAAGCAACAGTAAACAAGGGGCAGCTCCTCATTCTCCCCTCCCTATCCTTCCCTTACCTTTATGGATATGAAGTTTGCTTGGCATTCATTGGCAATGGCTTTAGCTAGTAAAGTCTTACCACAGCCAGGGGGACCATAAAAGAGAACACCTTTACTGGGAGTCATGCCAAACTGGAGGAACTTCTCAGGATGTTCTACAGGGTACTGAGAGAGAGAGAGAGGGAGGGAGAGAGGGGTAGAGAAAAGAGGGAGAGAGAGAAAGGGGAAAGAGAAAGTAAAGGTACAGGAGAGGGTAAGTACAGTAAACGGTTCATTGAAACTATGATGACATAAAGTGAATGAGATCACAAAAACCACAGTAACAAGGGAAATAGTAAATTATTACAAATGATGAAAGGGTTATTATGTAAATCTACATTCACCATAAATGTATGTGCACATGTACATGTACCATACCTGTACAAGCTCTTGTAACTCTCTCTTAACTTCGTCCAGTCCACCAACGTCATTCCAAGTGACCGTCGGTACCTCGACCACGGTCTCACGCAGTGCACTGGGGTTACTCTTGCTCATGGCGTACTAGTGGGTGTGGCTAATAAAGATCATGTGATTATCATGTGACGTACCCTAAAGTCTTCCATAGTGACAGCTAATGAGTCCATCACTTCAGCATCAATGGTGTCATCTTCAAGATCAATGAGATCCATTTTCTCTCTTATCTACATCAAAGAACCATACAGTACAACAGTAAATACATGTACATGAACTAGAAGAACGTAAAACATTAATGGGCTTAGCCATAAGCCATGCCATTGTTATGCTGTATGACCTCTCTTACTGCTAGAGAAGTCTTTGGACAGCAGTTTAGTCTTATCTTGCTGACTGTTTGTTGCAAATATTAAGCTCAGACTTGCTAATAGCAGCCATTTTATTTCATTGTGACCACACCCCGCTTTCAATGAAGATTAGGCTATTTAACTTTAATAATAGTTAGATGATCTTATCCATGTATGCATGAGTAGTGGGCATTAATTAGAATACACGTATATTGTAGTAAAATTCTACGGAGATCAAAGCAAGGAGGAAATTTTTTAGTACATACAAGGTACAAACTACACGTGTAGCCACAGAGCATAAGGACATGATGTTCTTATGCTGTGTAGCAAGTTTGAGTTGATTTTGACAAAAATTTCTCAAATTATGACCATTTTTAAAAAAGGGCCATTTCTTGAAAATACCCAAGGCTATAGCCCATGTTTTTTTCCAAAAAATGGCTCCAAAATCACCCCCAATTTTTATTACAATTTCTGATACATATTGATGTCCTTAAGCTACGTAGCAAGTTTGAGCTGATTCCAACAAATATTTTTCGAGTTACGGCCATTAAAAAAAAAACGTCAAAATTCTGAAAAATACCCAAGACTATATAGCCCATGGTTTTTTTTCCAAAAAATGGCTCCGAAATCACTCCAAATTTTTATTACATTATATGATACATATTGATGTCCTTATGCTGTGTAGCAAGTTTGAGCTGTTTCCGACAAATATTTTTCGAGTTACAGCCATTTTAAAAAAACGTCAAAATTCTGAAAATTACCCAAGGCTATTATAGCCCATGGTTTTTTCCAAAAAATGGCTCCGAAATGACCCCCAATTTTTATTACATTTTCTGATACATATTGATGTCCTTAAACTATGTAGCAAGTTTGAGCCGATTCCAAGCTCAAAATTTCAAA